ATTTGCGGTTTTTAACAAGAAGTTGAAAATATCACTTTTTACCAAAAATGACAAAAATATTCACCAAAATTAGAGAATTGAAGATATCATCATGAAATGAACAAATCTGAGAGAGGTCTACCCAAGGTACATATACACCAAGTATCAAAGCATTCAGGCTTGTAATTTTCAGGAAGAAGTCGAAAAAATAAAACATTGACACGGACGACGACGGACAATCACTCATATGATAAGCGCCGCTCGACAAAGTCGACAGCGGAGCTAAAAAGGGGTTGGGAGACATGAACAATGAATGCTAATTCATGATTTCATAGAAGAATATACAAAAATCAAAATAAGATTTAGAAGCACCACTACTGATTAACAACAAATAATATAATTGTTAGATTTCTACACACAAGCACCTTAAGAGACAGCTTGGCACCGACAGACGTTTTAACATGCAAACATTTATTATCACTTGAGGTCAAAGACTAAAAATGAAGCAAAATGATGAAAATTTTAAAATTACCTTCTGCAGTATGTGTTGAAGAATCAAATGTGGAAGGGAAATGAGAAAAAAAAAAGTAGGTGAGAGAAACATATAAAACTGACAGTTTCAACAAACAAAAACAATACAATACAAAACAACACAATGATTTTCACATTTGAAAAGCGACAATGACGTTGTTAGTTTCAGCGGCTAGGAAAATAAACATGATACAGAGAAAGAGGCAAGTAAGGAATGGTGACAGTAATAATGGTGAATAATAAAACAATGATTGATCAAAATATATTTGCAGTAAAAATGTTTGGTGATTTGAAACGCAGTGTTGGTGATTTGAAAGGTAGCGGCCGTGTACATTTAATACTGATGTAAATATACCGAATGTATGTGAGGTGATAATCGTCAACCATCCGGGAGAAGAAATACACGAGTACTGTAAAACTACTTAAATTTCGCAAGCAGCAAAATTTCGCAAGCCAGTAATATTGTAGCAGGGAAAACTTCACTGGAGTTCAAAAGGGGCAAAGTTACAAGCGGCATATGTGTAACTGAAACATCAAAACGCGAATATTCTTAGCGGTAATGTTCGTAACAGTTCCACTATTGAGATGTACACACAAAATGGGGGCACATGCACGTACCAAAAGTGAGCATAATTCCAATTTTAATAGAGAAACTACATTTTTACATCTCAAAAATGTTTTATTTTTTAGATTTATTTTTTCTCAAGTGGATTTAGTATAATTCCAGGAATTTCTTTGGAAAAAAGAGTGGTTCTCAGAAAACGCGAGTACAGGTATGTGGTTTGTACATCACAAATTCTGTGAAGTCGACGTGGAAGCTATTTCACACGAGGAAACAATCCATCAACACATGTGTTAGTATGCCGCAAACCATTATTCCAACTATTTCAAAAATAACATTTTTGAAAGGCTGATTTTCTGTTATTTCTACCCTAATTTGCAAGATTAATATTCATGAGCTATGAAAAACTTGTCTTTTCAGTAAAATTGTGCCAAAATGCTTCCCAATAGCGACTGATTCTATCACTGAGCTGAAAAAATAATCAAAAAATTCATTTAATAGTGTATTTTCTAGACACGTTTTTGATCTAACTGTTGAAAGTATCCACAGGTTTATTCTTCAACGTGATCAATAGTAAGTTACGAAATTTATGGAAAATGCAGAGGAATGTTGATATTGTTGATATTTCACTCTAGTACTATATTGCTCAAAATGTTTTAAGTAACTTTTATCAATGACAAGGTACCTAATTAGTATGCATTTCGAGAAATCACTTTGTGTGTGTGTGTGTGTGTGTATGTGCAGTTTGAAATGGGAAAATTTTGAACGCAATAAAATCACACGAAGAACTCACTCCTGCAAAAACTAGTAGTGCCAAACTGCTTGTTGGTAGAATTTTCTAACAGATACAATTTTAGGGTCTGAATATTTCTACGTAATGTTTGTAAGTTTCGTTGAAGATTGTTTTGTAAAGAAATAGCTAAAATGATTTCATCTATTCGTTAAAGAGATGTTGTGCTGTGACGATGGCTTGTATACGACTGTGACTTTTAAACGTTCCATTCAGATCGGCGGGCGCTCTCTCTGGTTCACTGGTTTACTTTTTTCTTCACAGACCTGTGTATTAACTGCGTAATGTGCCTTTTTCTCAAAAACAAGGTTGTGACCTTTATGTTTTATTATTGCTTATAGATCATAAAGGAATAGTATTCCCTTGCCAGTTAAAAAATATGTCAGTCAGACTTCACAAATCTCTGCATACTAGTCTACTATCTAATAAGTTGGACACACTTCAGAGCTCTTGATGCTGAAACTGAACAAAAGTGTTTTTGTTTTTTCTTGTTTGGTGGGAACAGTTGATTTTGAGACAAAAAGAAATGAACAACTCACCCGAAAGAGACATCATTGTATTGTTTATTACATACAACCATGTACACCTCCTTGGAAAAATCTAAAGAATGAAACAAAATGATGAAATTTCATTATTTTTAAACCAAATAGTAATTTTCTTCCACATATACAAGAACAAATGACAAGCAACAGCCCTAACATGAAGTATATTAGGTAAATTAAGACAAACAATTTAATTTGTAATAAGTTTTCAAATTAGTGAAGTTGAAAAACATAATTGTCCATTGTTTTGTTCGCCAAATAATACTGTACATAATACTGTAAAATACTTTATTTTCGGTTGGAATTAATTTTCGCTATTTTCACTGAAGAAATGATTCAGTGACAAAAATAAAATCCAGTGAATATACCTTTTTTCTTATATTTTACATTCAACTGTATATTTTACAATAAATTTCATACAAAACACACAAAAAGTCTTTTCAGCGAAAATTAATTCCAGCTAAAATAAAGTATTTTACAGTAATACTTTATGTACATAAGCCTGAGTATCTTTGAGGTAGTGAATGAAAAAAATGAGAAAAAGT